GAAAGTGTAGCCTCCTTCGACTTAGTCAAAATTATAGTTGTCTCACCCATATGTATAAAGGGTTCTTTGGCAGCAAACCCAGTAGTGGAAGAGTCATATGTACCTATATAATCGAAGCCAAAGACTTTCGTGAACTCCGCTAAGCTTGAGAAAGGCCTAGATGACAAGAAACTACAGTAGCATAGGTCTTTTGGCCGTGATTGAGCATTGTCTGAGCTTCATGTGGGAAAATCAATGGTAAAAATGGATTTGGATTAATTGGATGAACATTTTGATCGAAAGTCATCGAAGGGCCACTGGAACACTACTGGCCGACCGCTAGCGGCTTTGTTTTTCGGCCAAAATAAATCGGAGGTGGAAAATTATGATTTTCACAGTCTTGTGCGGAATTTCATGCTGAACAACGCGGTCAGGCGCATTTCCCGAGGTGAGAACCGTAGAGGTCGAAAATGGCAATTTTTCGACAAACTGTCCATTTACGTTTGGTGCCATAACAGGCGCGTCCGACCTCCAATTATCGTGATGTTTTGACCAAAGGTTTGACGTTCACCGGCATTCTGAATCTCTAGTGCATTTAGCTGTTTGAACTCTGTACGAGAATTAATTCCAAAATCAATTTCCGGCAACACTTTTTCCAAAGTTTCAATTTCGACGAAATTGGACGTTGAGGATACCATCCTGGGGGTTTTCGGGCCTTCTGAATTCGTTGGAAATGGTCCCATATCTAAATTCAGATAAGAAGTGGGTGTTTCAACCAAATTGGGATTCAAGCCATGATTTTTCAATTTCAGATCTACTAAGCTAGAGACCAAATTTGATATTGGGGTTATGGGAGATGTATGCAAGGTTGTTGGTGATGATTTTCCACCACTTGGAGTGCTACAATCCAGTGGTATTTTTCTCCCATTATAGAGAGAAGGGAGAGCATTTTAGGCTAGAGAGAGAAATTAGATGGGAGAGAATGGTTTAGGGTTTAGGGTTTTTTTTAGTGGAAGGAGGGCGGTACCTCCGTTAGTTTTATTAATATGCCCTCACTTGTGGCGGAGGAATACCATGGTTACATGTGGAAAAAAACAATAAATGAGGAAGTACTACTTTCCTTACAATAAGAAATAGTGCAACTAAAGAATAAAAAATTAAATTCTAATGCTGGGCAGTCCATGTCTGTCAATCTGTACAAGTGCCCTAATATGTCGAGGTAGGTCTAGTGGTCCATATACCTGGTAACATCGATGATCCCAACCCTCTGCAGCAAGTGCATCTGTGACCTAGTTCCGTTCTCTGTAGATGTGCGAAACTGTATCTCCGTCAAAGGATATAATGTCTGTGATTTGTTTGAGTATGCCTTGAATTTTCCATGGTCCTTCACCTCTGGTGATGCAGTGGATGGCCGTAGTAGAGTCCGACTCTATCCAAATGCCCGATAATCCAAGTCCTCTGGCCAATAGAATCCCATCCATTATAGGTCTGATCTCGGCCTCCAGAATCAAACCTGGGCCGTTCGATGCTGAGAATGCCCTGATGCAGCGTCCAGTATGATCCCTAATGATATCTCCACTACTCGCAAATCCATCCTTGACGCATCCATCGGTGTTGATCTTACATGATCCCACAGATGGAGTGGGCTAAACAACCATAGTAGGTGGTGGTGGAGAAGGGAAAGTCATAGAAATACCAAAGAGTGATGCAAGTGTGCAGTTCCCTCTCTAGTGCATAGCTCTAAAAAGTCCTCCCATTTGAAGAAAAGAAATAGTGCGGTAGACCCTCCAAATGATATGTCTGGCCACCATATGAATCCCTCTGTGTTTCGCATCATTCCTCTTGGTCCATAAAAACCAGAATATCAGTAGAGGAATGATAGTGTGAATGTGTCCTCTGCTAATGTACTATCTAGAATACCTCAATCTCTGAAACCTCTGTCTGACCCCCTCTCCTGATCTCATAGGTATTTGAAAGATTTCCCCAAAGTGCTGCTATACCTGAAAGGAGATGCTGCTGCTAGTAAAGATATGACTGATGGTCTTAATCTTAGAGCAACACTGACAACGAGAAGTAAAGTGGCACCCAATCCTCCTCTGAATAACCACATCTATCGGAATGAGATTCTGCCATAGTCTCCAGCAAAAGAATGAGATAGTGGTAGAAAAGATGGAACTCCATAGTAATCGATATGAATCCTGAGGTTGGCGAGCCGAGCGAACTAGCTGCCATCTTGATTTGGTAGCAAAGCTACTGTCTGATGTGGCTCTCCAAACAATACGATCGGGGACATCTGCATATAAAGGTATTGTCCCTATCTGCTCTGTTATGTGAGGGGAAGAGCCGATAATAATCGTCCAAAGTCCCACCCAGTGTCATAAAAAAAGTTCTGCACCCTCGCAGATGAGTGCTACCTGTGTGGGAAAAGGGATGCCAACGTGAACTCGCCCATCCAATAGTCATGCTAGAAGAAGATCTTACCGGCTCCAAGGTGCCAAGCAATGTGTGGCTCTATCCATGGCCCTACTGATTTTAGCGTCTTCCATGTGGGTTTAGGGTTTAGGTTTATGGTTTAGGGTTTAGGGATTAGGGTTTAGGGTTTTTTTTTTGTAAAGACATCCACACGTCCTTAATGACTTTTTAGGGTCTACCAAGGAAGGTCGATGGGGGTTAAGGGCTCCCCAACCATGTTTATTTCATAAAAATCAAGAATATAGGGAAGGAGGGGGGCATAAACCTGACCTCCAAAAAGCAACAGTGCAACAAATGAAAAATTAAAAATGAACAAAGTAAATGAGGAAGTACTACTCCCTTGTACAAGAAAAATGAAATAATGATAGCCTAAACGACAAACCTCTAAAGCTGGGCAATCTATGTTTGTCGATTTGCACCAATGCCCTAATCTGTCGAGGTAGGTCAAGTGGTCCATATTCTTGGTAATGCTGGTGATCCCAACCCTCTGAAGCAAGAGAATCTGCAACCTGGTTACCTTCTCTGTAGATGTGAGAAACTGTGTCTTTGTCAAAGCAAATGAAGTCTCTGATCTTTCTTAGAATACCCTGAATCGTCCATGGTCCTCCACCTTTGGTGATGCAGTGAATGGCCAGCGTTGAATCTACCTCTATCCAAATAGCTAATATCCCAAGTCCTCTGGCCAATAAAATCCCATCTAGTATGGCTCTGAGCTCAACCTCCAAATCAATCATGTGCCATACGATGCTGAAAATGCCCTGATGCAGTATCCTGTATGGTCCCTAATGATGCCTCCACCACTCGCAATTTCGTCCTTAACGCATCCGTCAGTGTTGATCTTAAAGGATCCTATTTGTGGAGTGCGCCAAACAACCATAATTGGTGGTGGTGGGATAGGATGGGTCATAGAAATGCCAAAAAGGGGTGCAAGTGACACATCCCCTCGCCAATACACAACTCGGAACAGTCCTCCCATATGAAGAAAAGAAATCATGCGGTAGACCCTCCAAACAATACGGCTGGCCACCATACGAACACCCCTATGTTTTGCATCATTCCTCTCAGTCCATAGAAACCAAGATATTAGTAGAGAAATGATAGTACGAATGTGCCCATGACTAACATGTTGCCCAGAATACCACCATCTCTGGAACCTTTGTCGGACCCCCTCCCTTGAAGTCATAGGTATCAGAATGATGTCTCCAAAGTGATGCCATACTTGGTCGGAGATTCTGCTGCTCGTGAAAATATGATTGATGGAATCAATATCAGAACAACACTGACAACGAGAAGCCAATTGACATCCAATCCTCCTCTGAATAATCACATCTACAGGAATGAGATCCTGCCACAGTCTCCAACAGAGGAATGAAATACTGGTAGGCAAAATTGGGCTACACAGTATTCGGTATGAATCTTGAGGTTGGTGAACCGAACGGACAAGCTACCATGCTGATTTGGTGGTAAAGTTACCATCTGATGTAATCCTCCAAACAATTCGGTCTGGGGCATCTGCACATAGAGGTATGGCCCCTATTTGTTCTGCCATTTGGGGAGGAAGAGTTTGCAATAATCCAAAATCCCACCCAGTGTCATTAAAGAAATCCTGCACCCTCGCAAATGTGTGCTGTCTGTGTGGGAATAGGGATGCCAACGTGGTCTCGCCCATCCAACAATCGTGCCAAAAGAAAATCTATCGGCTCCAAGATGCCAAGCAATGTGTGGATCTGTCTGTGGTCCAACTAATTTTAACCTCTTCCAGGTAGGGGAAGTTGAACTGAGAACTGCTGCAAGTGAAGGATGTGTTCCCATACAATACTTGCCCAGTAAAAACTGAGCCCAAAGTGACCTCTAGGATCGAAACAACCACCAGAGCTTCATGGAGAAGGTGTCCACCACATCTTGTAATCTCCTGAAGCCGAGGCCTCCCTCATCTGTTGGAAGGCAAATCTGCTTCCAACTCCTCCAATGTAGGCGTTGAACTTGATCCTTAGAATCCCATAGAAATTAGAGAAAGATGCTCTCAAGCTTCTTCAGTACTACCTTAGGCGGTTGCATAATCTGAAGAAGATGCAATGGTATGGAGGAGAGTACTGACCTCAGTAAGGTAATATGACCCCCAGGTGATAATAATCGTGAAGCCCAACCTGAGATCCTACCCCTGACCTTCTGGATAAGGTCGTCATAAAGAAAGCTCCTCTTAGTCCCCTTGAATAGTGGGACTCCCAAGTAAGTAAAAGGCTGCTGCTGATGTCTAAACCCAGTCAAATTCTCCAATCGTCTGATCTGACTAGTGGATGTCCGTCTAGATAGTATAACACCACTCTTGTCTCTATTGACCAACTAGCCAGAAACCCCTTCGTAGTGCTCCAAGTAGTCTAGGACCCTCCTGATAGACTGTTTCTGACCGTTGGCAAAAATGATCATATCATCAGCAAAATTTCATATTAAAAGAGTAAAAATAAAGATTGAATAGTCTCAGGTCGCCTAATTCTTGTATGAAACTCATTTTTTTCGTAAATTCAGTTAAACAAATTTATTTTATTGAGTTATAAATTACTCAAATAGTCATAGAACTTTGCCAAAGTGTAAAGAAGCTCCTGAGCCAGTAAAACATTATCTCCAATCAGACGACCTGGTATGAAACCACTCTGTGGAGGGGAGATAATGCGGGGTAGTAGAGTACTTAACCGAGTGTTCAAAAGCTTTGTAATAATCTTATTGAACACTGTGCATAAGCTGATAGGTCTGAAGTCAGTCCATCTGCAAGCACCATCCTTTTTAGGGAGCAAGACAATAGAAATAGTAGTAAAACCTCGTGGAAAATGACCTCCATCAAAGAAATTCAATACTGCCTTGTAAACATCCTCCTGAATAATATCCCAACAATGTTGGAAAAATAGAGATGAGAAGCCATATGGGCCAGCGACACTGTCAGCATCAATACTGAAAATCGCCTCCCGTACCTCATGCATTAACGGGGGGCGGTTTAGTGCCAAATTATCGTCCACCGTCAAGAGCCTGGGAATTACATCAGAACGGATGTGATCCAAGGGCTGTGGAGTAGCAGATAAGAGATCCTGGTAGAATACAATTGTTGAAGTCTGAATATCAGTCGGAGTAGATAAAACTTCCCCCGCCTGTGTCCTGATAGACCTAATATGCGATCTGATCCTGCGCCCCTGAACCATCGCATTAAAATATCGAGTATTGTGATCACCCTTACATACCCAACGTGAACCGGCCTTTTGCTTCCAAAAGTCCTCCTCAATAGATAAGGTCCGGTTTAAAACTGCCTGGGCATGATGTAATAAGTTACGGTGCTCCGGTGTGGGATCTCTATCATATTTTATCTCAGCCTCATCATTCCCAACCTCAGCATCGCGCACCCGCTGAAAAATATCTCCAAATACATGTCGGTTCCACCAACATAGACCCTGTTTAAGCCTGAAGAACTTGTCCCAAAGAGCGGTCATCCCTGTGAGATGAGTAGGGAGCGACCACTTCTGGGAGACAAAGGCTAAAAAATCATGGTGTTTGGTCCAAACATTGAGGAATCTGAACGGTCTAAGCCCCAAATCATCATCAGAAACCACTGAAGCAGTAAAGGAGAGTGATCAGATGAAGTCAGATTCAAGTGTCTCACTGTAAGCTGTCGACAAAAAGCTGTAGCTGTAGAATTAATAAGTACCCTATCCAATCTCTTTCTGACCCGACCATTGGTCCAAGTATATCGGTTTCCAATGAAACCCGCATCCTCTAAACCACAGTCTAACATCATATCAGAGAAAGCAGTAGTGCCACGATCACGAACTCTAACGTGAAAGAACTGGGGATGGTCAACAATAGCAGTAACATTAGTCCTCGAATTCCAGAAAATCCAGATCTTATTCGATTCATTCTGAGCTCCCATGTCGAAGCGCAGATAGTGTCGTGTATATGTAAAATTTTTCTGTAGAACAAAAGGCTCTAGTATAACTAGAAGATAAACTTGATGAAGCTGTATAAGTTTCTTCAGGCGCCGACGAGTAGCTACACTAGCTACACCTCTCACATTCCAAATGATGGCACTCATAGAGATGGGAAATGAGAAGAGGTATCATGTGACTGACTCCGAGTGATCCTTCTACTTGGATGTGGAGTATCAGTAGCCCGTGGATGTCTCTTCCGAACAACTGGGATAAATCCTTCATCCTCTATCCTCTCACATAAACCCACGAAGTCATCAGAAGAAGATCTTTGAAAGGGTCCCTGATGGTGAACCTCAATTTGAGATGAGCCCTCTGTATCTGAATGAATTGATGGCAAAGATGGAATAGATGCCTCCACGTTCTGATGACAAATGGGAGGAGGAGAAGTGTGAATAGGTGCTTGAGCCCAACCAGGTGTCGGGCTTGGAATGTAAGAAGCTCTGCTGACTGTTTCTGCTGTAGAATTCTGTGTCTGTGGCCTCTTCAAGATCTCATCCAACATAGGATCATAAAATGGAGTTATAGGTGGACTGATAGCCTGAGCAGGAGCTGAAGGAGTGGTAGATATAACTGGATCTACAACACTGATAACTGGTAAGGCTGTAGCAGCGGGAGGAGCAACTGGAGGAACAGATGGCTGGGTTTGAGCATGTGAGCTAGTGCCAGTAGGTAATGGGACTGATGTGATGATAGTGGACATAGAAAGCGAAATCTGAACTCCTGATGTGCTAGCATCGTGTTGTCTCTTCTAATCTTTTCGAACTGGAATCCATCTCTTAGGAGGCTCAATAACGACCTCCTTTCCTTTACCCTTATCCTTGGCCATCTCTATAATAGGCTTAAGAATAGGGTCAACAACTAGAGCAGGTGGTGGTACAGGGCGGCAATGCTCCTCAGTATGACCAAAATGTCTGCACCTAAAATAGTAATCTGGCTTCTTCTCATACACAACTGTTTGCCAATATCCTCCACACTTTTCGCGCTGAATCCAAATCCTATCTGGAAGCTTATACTCCAAATTAACCTCAATGCATAGTCGTGCCTCACTGGGTCGTCGTAAATCTGAAGTGGCCTCATCAATACGTAGTGGGATTCCAATGGCCTTAGCTAGGGCAAACAAACTACTCTTTGCCCGAAAGTGAATGGGCAATAATGGGAATGAGACCCAAACAGGGACAATAGGAGTCTCATGCCTAGGATTAAAGCTGGGCATCCACTTAAAAATGTGCATGAGGCAACCATCGATGTACCAAGAGGGCGTAAGAAATAGGCTTGAGTAATCATCCTCATGTGCCAAGTGTATTAGAATATGAGTCGAATCAATAAGTCCAATCATATAATCACCACAAAAACTAAATTTTTGAAAGCTGTCACGTACCTTAATCATGGAGGGCTTGCGACATGAGAATTTGCTAACAAGAGTAAATTTATACGGTTCAGAAAGAAAGTCCTCTTCCTCCTCGGTAAAGGCAACTGCCGACTCTCCCATATGCATGAAAGGTTCCTTAGAGGTGAACCTGTGGTCATTGGAGTCCGGTGGGGCTTGCAAAACCTGTGCAAAAGACTTGCGTTGGCTGCGCTCAGCTTGAGAGACTACAGATTTACCGAAAAGTGCAGCCGCATATGACTTCCTAGCTTGATTAATTACTGTAGGGACCTCCTGTGACAAATCTGATGATGGAATTGGGTTCGTAACAAAATTCCTCACATTCTGCTGAAGTGTCACCGATGCGTGACCACCACGCGCCGGTCGTTGACCGGCCGGATTCCGGCGGTGATTTTCCAACGGTGTCGAAAAATTATGAATTTTTATTGGCAGATGCAGAATTTCATGCTGATCATCACAGTATGTTCCATTTTTAGAAACGAGTTCAGGATTGGCCGAAATCTGTGATTTTTCGAGCGACTGGCCGTAACTTGCGATCGCCGGTGTGGGCGCGTCCGACTCCGAAAATTGACCATTTTTTAGTCAAAGGTTCTCCTTATCATGGGTAATCTGCCTATGTGGTGCGTGTAGTTTTGGAAGCTCCGTAGAGGATTTAATTGAAAAATCAGAATTCGGCCCCTCGGGATTCGATCTGTCAATTTCGATCGATTCGGATACAATCTCTACCACCCCTAGGGTTTTCGGCCCTTCTGGAATCATTGGTGAGGGTCCTAGACCCTGAATCACTATAGAAGATGAAGTTTTGGTGACCTTGGAAAATGTGCCACCATTGTTCTTATTAGAATTCAGTCCAATCACTTCCAAAACTGTTAAGTCTTGATTTTGTTGATCCTCTAGTGTTGTTTGGGGTTTAAATCCACCGAGTAAAGGTGGTATATCGGGTGGTGGGTTAAGATTCTTGAAGGTTTGTCGTTTGTCTCCCATTCTAGAGAGAAGGGAGAGCGTTTTGGGCTAGAGAGAGAAAGTGTTTTGGTTTTGGTTTTTAGTTTAGGGTTTAGGGTTTAGGATTTTTTTTTTGGTAAAGACATCCACACATCCTTAATGACTTTTTAGGGTCCACCAAGAAAGGTCGATGGGGGTCAAGGGTTCCCCAACCATATTTATTTCATAAAAATCAAGAATACACAGAAGGACGGGGGCATGAACCTGACCTCCAAAAAGCAGTGATGCAACAAATGAATATAATAAAATGAAAGCAATAAACGAGGAAGTACTACTTCCCTATACAATAAAAATAGTTTAATAATCATAGCCTAAATTACGAACCTCTGAAAACGGGCAATCCATGTCTGTCGATCTGCACTAGCGCCCTAATATGTCGAGGCAGTTCTAGTGGTCCATACTCTAGATAGTACCGATGATTCCAGCCTTCTGTGGCAAGAGAATCAGCAACCTGGTTGCCTTCTCTGTAGATGTGTGAAACTGTGTCTCTATCGAAGTAGATGAGGTCTCTGATCTGTCTAAGAATACCCTGAATCGACCATGGTCCTCCACCTTTGGTGATGCAGTGAATAGCCAATGTTGAATCTGCCTCGAGCTAGATAGCTGAAATCCTAAGTCCTCTGGCCAATAGAAGCCCATCTAGTATGGCTCTGAGCTTAGCCTCCAAAATGAAACATGGGCCATACGATGCTGAGAATGCCCTGATACAGTATCCTGCGTGGTCCCTAATGATGCCTCCACCACTTGCAAATCCATCTTTGACACATCCATCAGTGTTGATCTTGTAGGATCCAACTGGTGGAGTGTGCCAAACAACCATAATAGGTGGTGGTGGGAGAGGACGGGTCAAAGAAATGCCAAAAAGGGGTGCAAGTGTCACATCTCCTCGCCAATGCTCAACTCGGAATAGTCCTCCCATACGAAGAAAGGAGATCATGCGGTAGACCCTCCAAATAATACGTCTAGCCACCATACGAATACCTCTATGCTTCGCATCATTCCTCTCAGTCCATAGAAACCAAAATATCAGTAGAGGAATGATAATACGAATGTGTCCACGGCAAACGTGCTGCCCAGAATATCGCCATCTCTGGAACCTCTGTCTGACCCCCTCTCCTGAAGTCATAGGTATCTGAAAGATGTCTCCAAAGTGCTGCCATACCTGGTTGGAGATGCTGCTGCCCGCGAAAATATGATTGATGGTCTCAATCTCGGAACAACACTGACAACGAGAAGCCAATTGACATCCAATTCTCCTCTGAATAACAACATCTACTGGAATGAGATCCTGAATAGTCTCCAGCAGAAGAATGAAATAGTGGCAGGTAAAATAGAGCTCCACAGCAGTTGATATGAGTCCTAAGGCTGGCGAACCGAATGGACTAGTTGCCATGCTGATTTGGTGGTAAAGTCACCATCCGAAGTAATTTTCTAAACAATTCGGTCCGGGGCATCTGCACATAAAGGTATCGCCCCTATCTGTTTCTCCATGTGAGAAGGAAGGGCCTGTAATAACCGTCCAAAATCCCACCTAGTATCATAAAAAAATCCTGTACCCTCGCAGATGTGTGCTGTCTGTGGGGAAATAGGGATGCTAACGTAGACTCGCTCATCCAACAATCATGTCAGAAGAAAATCTGACCGGCTCCAAGGTGCCAAGCAATGTATGGATCTGTCCGTGGCCCAACTGATTTCAGCCTCTTCCAGGTAGGGGAAGCTGAACTGGGAACTGCTGCAAGTAAAGGATGCGTCCCCTTACAATACTTGCCCAGTAAAAACTGAGCCCAAAGTGACCTCTGAGATCGGAACAACCACCAGAGCTTCATGGAGAAGGTGTCCACCACATCCTATAATCTCCTAAAGCCGAGGCCTCCCTCATCAATAGGAAGGCAAATCACCTTCCAACACCTCCAATGTAGACGTCGTACTTGATCCTTAGAATCCCATAGAAATCGGGCAAAGATGCTCTCAAGTTTCTTCAGCACTGCCTTGGGCGGCTGCATAATCTGAAGAAGATGTAAAGGTATGGAAGAAAGTACTGACCTCAGTAATGTAATACGACCACCAGGCGATAGTAATCGTGAGGCCCAACCTGATATCCTATCCCTTATCTTCTGGATAAGGTCATCATAAAGAAAGCTCCTCTTAGTCCCCTTGAATAAGGGGACACCCAAGTAAGTGAAAAGCTGCTGCTGATGTCTGAAGCCAGTCAAAATCTCTAGTCGTCTGATCTAACTAGTGGATGCCTGTCTGGATAATATAATACCGCTCTTGTCTTTATTCACCAATTGGCCAAAAACTCCTTCATAGTGCTCCAAGCAGTCTAAGACCCTCCTGATAGACTGTTTATGACCATTGGCAAAGATGATCATATCGTCAGGAAATGAGAGATGTGAGATAAGAGCACTACCTCCATGTCGATAACACATACTGGGATACTCCTGAAACCTCTGAGTGAGCAAGTGTGAGAAGTAGTCTGCTGCAATGATGAATAAGGATGGGGAGATAGGATTACCCTGTCTGAGTCTTCGTGAGGATGGAAAGAAACCACATGGGCGGCCATTTAGGAGTACGAAGAAACGACACTCCGAAATGCACCGCCTGATTCTGTCAATTTAGATCTGATCAAATCCAAATGCCTCCAATATAGAATAAATGAAGCCCCAGTCCATGCGATCATATGCTTTAGCCATGTCTAACTTCAGCATAGTGTTT